ACCGGCCACCATCTTGCCTCAAACCATGATGATGATATCAATCATCATAATGGCTCCTTGATTGAGGTCTAGCATTAAATGCAAGAGTTACTGAATTTTGAAATTAAAAAAAAAAAAACTTTCCTTATTTGCAAACTTCCTAATAAGGAAGTTTTTCGAATTCAAAATTCGAACGAGATCTAATTAAATGACTCATTATTTCCCCCGTAAGTTTCAAACTCATTTGGAAAGGAATTACTCTCCCTAATCACTCCTCTCCCTCTCACAATGCCGCCGGCCCTATGAGGGTGAAATCCCCGTTAATGCTTTATTAATGCATTCAAGGCTCTTGATTCAAAATCCAAATTCAAATTCCCTCCCTCCAATTTGCTTAATCCTGAAATTAATTTCAAATTTGTTAATTAACTCCCTCTCCTTCCTTCTCTATACCGCCGTCCATGCAAGGGCTAAATCCCAATTAATGCTACTTTATGTCATTGATTACAATCGATTTGAAATTCAAATCCCAATTTGCTTCCCTCCAAATTCACTCAAAACTGAAAATAATTTCAGATTTGAGTAAACCTCATCCTTCCCTCATCTAACCTAAATCTCCTCACCCAAGTTACCCGCCCCCTCTCTCTCTACCTTGGTCGCCCTTCTCCCTACTCCCTCCCTTGGGAAGTTTTTGGATGCTCATAACACTTGAAGCCAAGAGAAGAAGACGACGCCCTTCCACCGCCACTTCAATGACGTATGGCTGATCCATAAATTGATAGCGTCTTTGTAATCAACGTCTACGGTGACATCCATATCACCCGTTCACCATTTTTCGACGTCGGGGTTGGCTCCGACGACACTATTGAAGACTATTTGAACCGCATCCTTCCGACTCTCGTGGATGTTTTAGACAATCAATTCTAGGATTACGACTGGACCATCAACGGTCATCCACCCGCGCCATCTCCACCACCGTCGACCTTTCCGTGGATCAAGGCCATTGTTGTTGCGATTGTCCTCGTGGCATTGTTGGGTGTGCTGAAAACCTTCCTCTGCTAAGCCATACTTTGAGTGTGAATGAGCATGGTAATTCGTAGTGAATTTTCTAAATATTAAATGTGGGATCATATTACTACGCATTTGTTTTTATTGTGATAATTTCAGATTTATCTTTAATATTCCCAACTTCAATTTTTGTAATTGCTTATCATAATAATTTTGGCAATTGAAAGCTCTTGAACCTCGCCTTACGAAACTTTAATCTTCAAGTAGCAAACGTTGTAATTCTTTTAAAATTTCCAGTGCAATTCTTAATTGATTCACATCAGATTAACAGTTATTTTAATCGTGGTGGACCGACTTAGTAAGTATTCACATTTTATCCTCCTACGACATCATTATACCGCAGCATTAGTGGCGGTAGCATTTATCAGGGAAGTGGTTAGATTACACGGGATTTCTGAATCGATTATTTCTAATAGAGACAGTGTTCCTTAGCCATTTTTGGAGAGAGCTTTTCAGGATGTAGGACACTGTTCTCAAGAGAAGTACCGCCTACCATCCACAGACAGACGTACAAACATAGGTAGTGAACCAGAGCTTGGAAACATATTTGAGGTGTTTTGCTTCTGAAACACCACGGAAGTGGGCTAAATGGTTACCATGGGCTAAGTATTAGTATATACTTCGTACCATTCTGCGTCCCAAATGACAACTTTCAAGGTGCTCTATGAAAGAGACCCCCCACACTTAGTGCATTTTGGGAGAGGAAACACAGTAGTCTCTTCAGTCGAACAATACTTAGAGGAGAGAGACCAAATGTTGGAGGAGTTAAAGAAACATCTTTGGAGAGCACAACAAATCATGAAGAAGCGAGTAGATACACACAGGAGAGACATACAGTATGAAGTGGGAGAGAAGGTGTTCTTGAAGCTAAGGCTCTATAGGCATAAATCAATGGCTAACAGGAGGAACGAGAAATTGGCTCCGATGTATTTTGGTCCCTACTAGATTTTGGAGAAGATTGAGCAGTGGTGTATCGTCTAAAGTTACCCGCCTCCGCTACTATATACCTCGTGTTCCATGCGTCACAGTTGAGGAGAGCTCTAGGGGAGCATGCTGTTAGTGCAGAGTTATGAGCCACACTAATAAAGGGATTGGAGATGGTCATGGAACCCCTGGAGCTGGAAGGGGTAAGGTTTGATAAAAAGGGAAACAAAGAGGTGTTGATCAGATGGAAGGATCTTCCCGACTACGAGGCTACTTGGGAGCCTTATGAGAGTGTGAATCGAAGCACCGGTTTCCTTACTTTCACCTTGAGGACACCTTGAGGACAAGATGAGTTTTTGGGAGGGGAGTAATGTTACGTCGGCCCAGGAGGGGTCGACTGCTTTGCCTGAACCGGTCCCTAGTGGACCGGTTTGGGTTTACCACCGCCGGCCCAAGCAAGGAGAGAGAGGGGGGCCGGCCACTCCTTTGGGCCCCACACCTCGAGTAATGCTTGTTTGGAGGGAAAAATTTGAATTAGGGGCTGTTTAGGAAATTTGTAATTCTCATTTGTCTTTTATTAAGGGTTAATGTTAGAATTAGGGATAAAATTTGAAAGGATTTCGAGATCTAGGGTTTGTGTTCTTGGGCTCTAGGCTTGGTTAGAGAATTGGATAGTTGTTTCTCCTCTCGAATTGAAGAAACTTGTATCTGTTGATGATTTCCTGCATCTACTACTGGAATCCTTCGTTTTCTCCCAGTTTCCTACTGTTTTTCCCAAGAAATCTGCTGTGCGTTGCTGATTTTTTACTGTAAACAGCAGTTTGTGTACTGTTTTCTCACTAAATTCAATTAGGTTTGCTTGCGAACTCAAGTATTACCTTAGGGTTACTTGCGAACTCAAGTTTTTCCTATCAGATTGTTCCAATGACTACAATGACGAGGAGGAATATAAGGGGTCCTCTCACTCTTGGTTCTTAGGGTTGGTTTTAAGGTTGAGGCGAGGTTGGCCCTGCAGTGCAGGTGAAGCTGTTTCCGGATCAAAGGCGAGTCAATTTTGTGGCTGATAGAGTGTGGGCAATCAAGTTCTTCACTGGGAAGGCTTACATGAATTTCCAGAACAAGTATCAGAGGTGATTATTCGATAACACTTACGGATTTGAAGCCAATGAGGAAAACAATGTTCAGGTATTTGGAAAGGACTTCATGGCTTGGGCCCAGCTAGAGTTTGTCGATGACTCCATCTAGGAGGACGTTGTTAAGTGCTTTGAAAAGAGCCCCATGCACACTACTTCGGCCAAGGAAACCAACACTGTGTGGATGAACTCAAGGAGGTAGCTGATGAAGGGTGCGGTTGTGCCTGCTTAAGATAGCAGAATTGTGTTACTTGTTGGTCTCCTCGCAACATATTGATCCCAATAGGGGTGAAAATTTTTAGTTTGAGGTGTGTCATAGAAGTGACAACTCCAAAGATCGACTGAAGGAGTCTTCCAAAGATAACATTATAAGCCAACTATGATTTTACCACAGTAAACTGGATTTTGTAAGTAGCTTGTGGAGGAAATTCTCCAACTACAATTGGGAGACTAATTATCCCTTATACACGCACGGGTTAATTATGAAACCTATATAGCGGTCCTGCTGGCGAAACACATTAAGAAAAGTAGAGTAGAATAAGATATCGACGGAGATCACATTGTCCATCAAAATTCTTTTAATGTTGTAACGCGGGTCACATATCCCCGCATTAATCATGAGTGGATTTTGATGAGGGCTTTTTACTCCCTCTAAATCAGAATCATCAAAAGTAATAGAATAATTGATATGAGACTTCTTTGGCATCACCTCTTCTTCTACTGCAAATAAGATTTGATTAGGAAATAAAGGGCATCTGCAATAATTTCAATCTCGCCAACTGTTTGACGAGTATTCAACGATTGTCTTTATTGTTGTTGATTTTGCCCCTCAGTGGGACGAGCCTCATCTCGAGCAGGTGGATTTTGAATAAATTATCGAAGGTATCCTTGTTGGATAAGTTACTCAATTTCATATTTGATATGCTTACAGACTTCAGTGGTGTGCCCTTGACTACGGTGAAAATGATAGTATTGATTTTGATTTCTTGTATTCGGCTTCAAAGGATTATGCCACTTAACATTTTCTTCATATTAAATGGCCATCAATACATTTGCTCGAGATGCGTTGAGTGTTGTATACTCCTCTTATCGAGGCTTGCGTTATGGCAATGGGGGTCTAGGAAGCAGGTTACTCTTCCTTTGTTTCTTTCACTACGGGGACGAGTTATCCATTGTGGGAGCATTCTTGCGTTTGTCATAAATTTGTTGAAATTATTTCCTATGAGCATTGATAACTTCATCTGCTGATATTTGTGTTTCCACCCAATGAATTAAATCAGCATACGAATGAACTGCGTCTCACATAAGTGCCGAGTAAAAGGGATCAGGACGGAGGCCTCCAAGAAAAACACCTCTTAGCAACTCAGGATTTACTCCTGGAGTTTGCGAGCATCGGTGAAAAATCATTGAAAATACTCTCTAAGTGATTCTCCTTCATTCTGGTGAACCCCATAGAGGTTACAAGCCAGAATTTTATTTTGGCTTGTTATTTGACCTGAGCGATAGATATTTAGGCTCGTATTTAATTGAATTTGGTGTCGTTGGGTTCATCTTTTCTAGACGTTCAATTCGATTATAAGTTTGCTGAAATCAGAGTTCAGATGGTCCCATATTTAATGTCGGAAGTTTCCAACTTGATCTTGCCTCATGCTTCGTGCCCGATCAAGATAATTTTTTATGACATATCAGTTGGCATTGCTTGTTACATCAATATATAAAACATTCATGCCTTATATTTTATTTACAGCCTGGATTATGGTACATGTTCCTTCAAATTACTTCATTTTGCATTTTCTTTCTTTAACACACCCCTCTTTAATCAGGACAGAGAATGACAAACAGGAGAAGCATCTTATAGCCATTGTAGGCAAATTCAGCCTAATTTGGACTTTCATGCAGGTAAAGAACAGCAATCATGAGTGCTACCGCAACCAGGAATGGTTCAAAAGCTGTTACTGCTATCGTATTGTTCCCCAAAACGAATCCATTCTGGATAGCTGCTTCATGCATGAGAAGTTTGCAGCCAGTGATTCTCCAGAAGCTCCATTAGTTGTCGTCACTCCATTGAAGGTCAGCTCTTTCAGCATCTCAAGCAGCCATTAAATATTACGCCCATTTATGTTTTTTTGTAGTTCCTGCTCATTGTTCTAATGATTAGGAACTTTTAACAGTTTTAATTTACTGTACCTTAATATCAATCTCAAATGCCAACGGTAAAATCAGTCCTCTTGTAGGGGAAACATGATGGATTTTAGAGGATAATTTACCAAATACTTTCCATTGCACTTGCTATTTGAGTTTGGACTATCTAAATCACTTGTATGATAATTTCCATTTGCTTAGATTGCATCATACCCTTCCTCCTTGTCCTGCAATTTATAGTCTTCATAACAAATATAGTATGTTCCATTGATCCAATAAAGGCATTTTGGACGCAAAATCAACTGAAAGAATAAAGAGGGCTATGTGGAATGAGAAATTATTTTATGCGGATACCGGATGGAGAGAACCGTCCGGATTTGCTGCGTTTTTGCAAAAGGGCAGCAAAAACACAACAAATATTTAATTATTTAGTAAATATTAAATATTTGCTGCCTTATTACTGTCTTTTTGTAAAAGTACAGCAAAAGGATAGTAAAAACGCAACAAATCTGGATGATTCTCTCCGTTCGGTGTCTGCACAGAATAATTAGTCGTGGGAAACAGATTCATAATTTGACACTCAAATTATTTTGAACTTGTATTATGGATTATGACGTGAGTTTGATGTAGTAGTAGCTCATACCTTCAATAGAGTGGTAACTTATAATGGATTATAGTAGTTAACATGTCCAGATTGTAACAAAAGCACACAATGCTTGGAAATGACATAAACAGTACAAAATTGGTGTAGTGTCAGCAATTTATGCTTCGTTAGGTCCTTTTATCCTCCCACCTTGACTGTCTATTTTAAGTTGTTGCCACTTCAAGCTTTTCTTGGGATCTTTCTTAGCTAGCCTTTCTCACTTTTGAGTAGTTGTTCATCATCAATGCTTTCTGATGACCCGGTTCAGTCGTTATCTGGGACCATTTCCTCTGGCTTTTAACGAGTGAATTCAGCTATACAGGACCTTTATGGCTATTTTTTTGGGGAGGATATTTTGGTCAATTAAGACAAACTCATAGATACATCATATATATAAGACTCCAAATCAAAACCTCTTAATTGATAGCCAAAGCTTCTAACAAACAGACCGAGGTGAGCTACGTCATTTATAGCTATTGTTTGGCACCTTCGTCCAATTGTTATCTAGATAAAATTTATCCAAAATTGACAATACTACAAACGAGGACATGACTCATATTCTATGTTGCATCGATACGGATACGGCGACACAGATACGACACGATACGGATACGGGACATGTCAATTCTTTAAAATACAGGATACAGGTACGGCGCGGACACGACATCATAATTTATAAATCATACAAAAAAATTAAGAAAGCAATCAAAGCATAATATTTGAAATTACAAAAAAAAAATGACAACAACATCATTTGTAGCCTTGTAGGTTATAATATCAAAATATAAGTAAGCATTAAATATCTAGTACAACAACAAAAGCATAAACATAAATTGTCTAGCACATAAAGTTTCAACTATTCAATAGAAGGAATGATATGATTAGCTTCTTCAGTGGTTTGTCTTTGAACTTCTATATCATCTTCAATAAATATCATAGCTTTTAATTCAGGCTCATCAAGTGAAAGATTAGTAATTTCTAATATTCTCGTATCATCAAGAGACTCAAATGCATCTCGGAAATGAGAGAACTTTGCTCGCAGCTACGGAAGTAAATACGACGCATCTTTTTTTTTTTTAATTTCTTTTTGTTTTTCAACTGACACGTGTATCCTTTTGAAATTAAATAGTATTTTAATTGGATACGTCTTTGGCTTATCCGACACATATCGGTGGAGTATCGGAGGCATATCCGTGTATCGGTGTATCGGATACAGCACGACTTCATAAATAGGTGTATCGGTGCAACATAGCTCATATTTTAAAAGCTTTTTCAAAGAGTTTAGTTTCTTATCAAAATTCAAGTCATGGTTGAAATTTAATCAATCTTAAATAATTATATATTTGATGTTAAGAATTTAAGCATATATATTTATATTTATAAAAATTAATTTTAATTTACTAGTTATTTACTTGATATCAGCGTTATAATTATACCTCAAATAATATACATAATTTTAAAGTGTGTAAACTATTAAAATATAGAATGAATCATCAAACAAGTAATTAAATCATCATTAAGAGTTTGTTTGGGATAGCTATCTAGCTGCTTTGCTTTTCCAATAACAGTCACAATTTATTTTGACTACTGCTTTCTTGTTGTTTTATCACTGCTTTTTAGAAATTTATACGGTAGAAAGCTACTTTTTATAACCAGAATAATTAACTTACTTTTCTCATAACAAATTCACAATCAACTTTATAAAAACTCAGCAACAACCATCCCAGACAGACCTTAAATGAGCATTTTATCGAGTTCTTAGTGATCTACATTTTGAACGACAAATAGATATTTTTATGAACATAAATGAATGTGCAGGTGAATGTTCAAACATGTTCATTGGGCTTATTTAATCATTTAAAAAAGGATTCATTAAATCTACCTATTTTCCCCCAATTTATGCCATTAGATGGCTCTGATGATTGTATGAACATGTCCCTTCTGTACCAAAGTGATATGTACAATAATTGGGAAAGCGTCCATGTTTCCTCCACAGGATTCCAGCACATGGGCCTTAATGTCTCCTCTATCAATACCTCTGAACGTTTAACCAATAAAATAAGCTGAAAAAGTCTTAGCAAACTCATCAAAATTTATTATTTATGAGAGCCTTTGTAGTCGTCGGTCCTTTACTTTCTGTTCATGTTTTTTCCTCCTCTCCAGTTTCTTTCATGGAAAGGGAAGAAGTTTGGTAGTCTTTATCAGTTAGCTTCCATAAAACCAGTTGCTTTACTTTATTCAATAAAATAAGCCAGCTTTTAAGTTTGTTGACTGTCAGGATTTCTCTTGGAACTGTTAAGATCTGTTTTTTTGCGTATATGGAAGCTTTTTTTTTTTATTAATGCTTAAGAAGAGAAATTATTATATGCAGGACGGTCTGGAGGTCAACCAGAATGTGCTATGTCACCCGGTACACAGCGGTATCCAGCACTGTTATTAAGTAAAAAAGTTACGTGACACGTTCTGATTGGTCTTCGGATGACGACCGGTGTCTGTGCAGAGTAATTTTACCACTGCAAGTTAGACTGGAATTTTACCTCTCAGGAAACAAGTCTCAATTGAGGAGTCTCAGAATTCTTTCCAGCCATTGACGTTGTGCTTGAGAAAAGGTAGTCTTTAGGGGTATGGTTGTTAGGGCCTCAGATCATAGGCTCATTTGCATTTCAAGGCAAGAATTACAAGCAATCTTGGCCGTTGATGGATACAAGTGGCGGATCCTAAGCCGTCGGATTGGGTGAGCTTATGATTGCTTTAATTTAGTCATCAATGCATGGGAATATGGTTGCAACCAGAGGAGATAATTGAGAAGGTTTAGGTTTGATTAGTTACCCACATTGCAAGTTTTCTCCTTCTCTTTTATGCTGTGAAACATTATAAGTGGATTATTAGGGCTATAGAGTAGAGAAATTTAGGCTTCGTTTGGGACAACTTTGGACCACTATTGTTTCCTACTTTCAAAAGATTTTTACGCTAAAAAGTATCTTTGTAAAGCAGTAAGAAAGTCATCCCAAATGAAGCCTTAGGCTTTGGCTTTGTTTGGGACAGCTTTCTTTCTGCTTCTTAAAGCAGCTTTTTAGTATAAAAAATTTATTTGTTGTACTATAAAGCAGCTTTAAGAAGCAGTAATAAGCCGTCCCAAACGAAGCCTTAGTGCTCTTTTGATAAAGATTAGCATTTATATGAAGGCCAAACATTTTTGTATTAGAAAATTAGTTTAAAAAGCAGTAAGAAAGTTGTCTAAATTGAAGCCTAAATTTAAAATTTCATTTGGGATATATTTTTTTTTTTTTTTGCTTTTTACGGTAGCTTTTTAGTATAAAAAAAAATTAAAAGAGAAAAAAAAGAGTAAAAAGCTGACTAAAACATATCCTAAATTACATCTAGCATTAAATTTTTTACATTTTTATCCCATTAATAAGGCGTACATACTCTCCAAACCACTTAGGAGAAAATAATAATAATAATGGAAAATTAGAACGTGTAGAATCAAAGTTTAGTTAGAACTCCAAAGCTGTATAATATTGACCCCAATTCCTCAAGAAATTCAAAGCAAATTTTAATTATTAGTCATCGTAAACAAGTAATATTCCTACTCAGCAATCATTATACATTCTCAAATGATAATGCAAAGTTCCCCTTTGCTATTTATTTCATTATTTTCAAAATACCCGACAACAATAATATCAAGCCTTTATCCCACTACGTGGGGTCGGCTACATGAATTTTTTTTTTCCAATGTGTTATGTTAAAAGTCAAATTCTCGTTTAAATCTAATAAAGAAAGTTCATTTCTAATGTTTTCTAACCATGTCCTCATAAGGGTGTCGTTTTATGTGCTCGGATAGCAACTGTGTGCGACGACTATTTAGTTTGAGGACTGCGTGGTTGAGCGATAGCGAGCGACATGCAATGGCGAACAATTGAAAATGATGATGCATGGAAGGCTACGATAACTATTGGATAACAAAATATGTTTAATGGTGACAAATAATTAGAAAGTGACGAAACAATTATGTTAATCTTCAGCTAATCTACTTATCTCACTCGACGCACATTGCGTAGAGCAAAGAACCAGTAGCCTATGTTGGTGGTTCAATGATGACCACCATCAATAAAACCATTATTATTTGTGTGGTAATGAATTATTTGATTCATTATTTAGTTTGCCCTAAACCCTAAACATTGGCCATGTTTAGATCCCATGCAATTATTAAAAAAAAAATTATGTAACCATTTATTTCATGCATTAAATGTCGCTTAGTATTTCACCTAAATGTTTCATGTTTGTTTACAAAAGTATTTACAGAATGTTTTGATAAGTCAGATCTGTTTGGTGAAATAAATTTGTTATTTTGTATCATTACACCAATCAATTTAATCAAGGATTCATGTAGCTGACCCCACATCCTCGTAAACTTTTGACAATACTACCTTACAAACTTTGTCTATTATGATATATGTCACTATAAAGTCACTATTAAGTAGATGTTGACGTACTTGGTTAACTAAATATGATGAGTTATCATAATGTAGGGGCGAAACCCCCTTTATGTCTTGGGGACAATTGCCTCCCCTTAAAAAAAATTTAGGTAATTTATCATCCTCAATCTATTTTTTTTCTTTATTATAAGGGTTGTTAGGCAATCCCCCCCCCCCCCCCCCC